TTCAAGAGTCTGGACTCTAGATCCCATGTGGTTTTTTTCCAGTGTTATGAATATTTTCCTTCCAACTTGTCAGGTAATTTTGTTCGCAATTTCATCTAAGGCTCCTGAAAATTTCAAGGAAAAATATTCATAACATTCCTCAAAAATAAACATTGTATTGGAGGAAATTTGGCAACTCTCAAATGTTCATACGGCCTTGCCAAATTTCCTTTCATGAAACGTGAATTTCCTGGTAAATTATAAATATTTCCCTCCCAATTTTTCAGATAATTTAGCTCACAATTTTACTTGGAGATTCTGAAACTTTAAAGGAAAGGTATTCATGACTTTCCGAAAAAATGAACATTTTATCGGCGGCAAATTAAAAAAAATATGGCAGTATGAGCCATCAGCCGTTGCAGTGTTGCCACATTTCGGCCATCGATTTATCGATCAGAGTCATTCGATAAAGCTTAAACAATCGACTCGCAGGGCGCATCAGAAAACGGACTTACGAGGTTTAAACAGTGAGCTCTCGAGTTACCCCGAGACAAATGGAACGACGATCAAGTCCGCGTAACATTTTCCGGGCGAGAGACCCGGCGCATCCGGGACCTGCGCGCGTGCGCGTCACGCGCCGCCGCGGCCCCGATTTTCCGGACGTCGCCGGAGGGGGGGGCGTCGCGACGCGCCTCATCGCCTCGCGCTTTGCGTCTGATCTAATTATCGATTTGCGCGTTTACTCACTCCAGATAGGACGGGATGTACCTCGTGGATCCTCGGGAGAGGGAGGGGTCTTTGATCGATCGGGAGGAAGTGCTGATCCAAAATCGTCAGAAGGGTGTTGGCAGTAGTTTTGAAGGATGAAACATTTCAGGCGCAAAGAAACTTTTTTTTTTCTTTTTCTCAGGGTTGAATATAGGTGCAAAGTTAGAAATTCCGGGAGAAGGAGGTGTCTTTGATCAGAGGAAGTGATGATCCAAAATCGTCTGGAGAGTGTTGGGAGTAGTTTTGAAGGATGAAACATTTCAGGCGTAAAGATTTTTTTTTTTTTTTTTTTTTCCCCAGGGTTGAATATAGGTGCAAAGTTAGAAATTCCCGTGTTTATAGTTACTTTGGGTTACTTTTTTTCTCACCGCCGGCGATCGACGCGGCGTCCTGTCGAGAAAATGAGAGGATATATGCAAAAGCTAAGTCAATACACACTGGAAAAAAAAACACATTGGATCTAGAGTGCTGACTCTTAAAAACATCGACAAGAAAAAATCCTCTTGATTCAATCGGATTTTTGCTTGAATCAAAAGGAAATTCGCTCAAGTTAAAAGGCTTGGATCTTGATTTAAGCAAAAATCCGATTGAATCAAGAGTGTTTTTTCTTGTCGATGTTTTTAAGAGTCTGGACTCTAGATCAAATGTGTGTTTTTTTTCCAGTGCATACTTTACAAACGACGGGTTCTAACGGTAGACCGGTTTAGTTGCTACGGCATGGTTCGAATGTAAACAAACATTTTAATGAAATAGTTAACGGAAATTTTCAATAATTCATAGTGTTCATTTCACCCGCGCAGCCCCGATTCCAGCGCAAATTCCCTCACTTCATGAGATGCCACAGAGTGCCACCTTGTTTTTGAGTTCTGACTCGCACCCTTTGCTCCATGATGGTAAAATCCGTCCAAGTGTTAAATACAATCGAAATTTCTCGTGTTTAATGAGTCTTTAATTCATTTGGACGTATTTCTACCAAACAGACCTATGTGGAGGTGAGAAATATAGGGTGTGCTCGTCGAAGCTGCAAAAGAAGCAATGTAAAAGTGGGCGTGATTCCATTTGAAGAATTGGAAAAGCGGGATTTTACATTCTATCAAACAGACCTATGTGCCAACTGAATGCGAGATTCATGAGCCGCGGGCATGGCAAGATAGCGTTGTGGACAGGGCTCATGAGTTAAAGACAAGACACGGATCCCCGGCTCGGAGTCTCCATCGTCGCCGCTGACGTCACTGGCGCTTTATTATTCTCATTCACTCTTACGGCCAGAGAACTAACGAGCACACCCCATATTTCTCACCTCCACATAGGTCTGTTTGGTAGAAATACGTCCATTTATGACCAGTCAAAGGCTGAATTTTACTAAATTAACGCAATTAACCCACGCAGAATTTTTTACAAGAGGCTATGTCAGTTTGTTTTGGTTTGAACCAAGAGTTCTATAATATATCGAATGACGTAGTCACTAAATCAGTCTGCGTTCCGGGCAGAGCACCTCGAGCAATCGACGCTACACTGGAAAAAATAAAAAAAACACACTGAATCTTGAGTCCAGACTCTTGAAAACATTGACAAGAAAAAATACTCTTGATTCAATCGGATTTTTGCTTGAATCAAAACGAAATCCGCTTAAAATAAGAGGCTTGGTTCTTCATTTATGCTAGATTCTGATTGAATCAAGAGTACTTTTTCTTGTCGATGTTTTTAGGAGTCCGGACTCCAGATCCAATGCGTTCTTTTCCAGTGTACGGCTCAAACACCCGGAACTTTCGGCCTCTGCGCCCGTAATTTTTTGCAGTGTTCCCAACCGGCAAGAGTTGTATTTCTGCGCCGGGCGAAAGAAACACCGGGAAAAAGAGGAGCTCGGAAGCCGCGGCTATCCCGGCATAATTGATAACCTCCCCCCCTTCCCCCTCCTTCCTGCTGGCCATTCCTGAGATCAGCGGTGGATTACGGGCGCGGATGATGCGATACCGCACGGTAGCAGTGCAAACTGGAAACTGGGTGCAGCACCACCACAAACAACAGTAACAGCACTCCGACAGCGGCCTCACATTAAGAGCTCCCTGTTGCCAAACTTCCTACCGGAAACGTACTTTGCGGCATCTCATAAAGTGAGGGGATTTGCGCTGGAGTCGGGGCTGCACGGGTTAGGTTTCCAAGTAAAACTAGTCTTGATGCATATTGTGTGAAAAATTCGCTGCCAAATTCCAATTTAAGCATCGAATTGTCGGCTTGAACTTTCTTTCCACCATAAGGAGCCCGAAACTTTAAACTCGTATTTCTCGAAATAGCAGAAACTGCACTTACGCGCAGGGCCGGATTTACCAACTTGCCGCCCATGGGCCGCCTGCATTTTGCCGCCCCCTTCTCATTCGTTTTGAAACATCAATAAAAACCATTAAGTGAACGCGCCAAAGGGAGACGAGTGCATTAGACGCGTTCATTCTTGTTGGACACATTATTTGCGAAAACCCTGTCAACACTACTGGCAAAAGTTCACTAAACTTTGCGCAAAAGTTAAGTTCCGTATACCTATCTGTGTGGACGAGGCCTTCCATTTGAAGAAATGAACGAAAAAATTATGAAAGAACGAACAAATGTGATTTAATAATTTTAACTTCCGCTGCGCCGCGCTGGCCGCAATGGGTTTGGCGCAATTCGTAAAGTATTCCTATAGTCCTGTAGGCGCTTTGCGCTTCACGCCGACCGCTGTTGACCGCACTGTGTTTGACGCAATGCGTGAAGTATTCATGCAGTCTTGTAGGCGCTATGCGTTTCACGCTGACCGCACTACGTTTGACGCAATGCGTGAAGTATTCATGCAGTCTTGTAGGCGCTGATATGTGTTACATGCCGACCGCCGCGCCGAGGGTTTCTCTTGTTCATCTCAAGTTCTCGTCGTCATTGCTCTCTGCGCCGCGCCGTTCCAGGCCAAATTGCGTGTTTGGTTTCTCTCCTAACTCGACTAATTAAAGGTGCTGTCTCTTGTATCACCGAAAGTTGACAAAATTAGAAATTACTATACTCTCAGGGAATGAGAAATTTGGTCACCTTTTCTCGTTTGTAATTTTTCTCTGGATCCGATTTTTTTTATACCTATATTTAAAAAAATTGCAAAATTTGCCGCCATGGGCCGCGGCCCATGTTGCCATCCCCTAGATTCGGCCCTGCTTACGCGCCTTCCCCTCCAAGCCCCTTCATTTCATGTTGCCAAATTGTCTCTCAAATTTTAATTATTTTACAAAGAGTCAAACATAATACATCTTCAAGATTTTTGTGTATACTTTCCATTAGCTTTCAAAAAATATACTCTTAGAATTCCAAGTGAGGGTGATGCTTTTACAGTTAGTTTTCTGTCTAAAAACTAAAAGAAGAAAGGATATTAAGCAACGTCTGATGTAGTTAGGGTGATTCCAGGGAAATCTGATACGAGGCAACGTCTGATGTAGTTAGTCTGATTCCAGATAAATCTGTTCACGTCAGACAACGGGATGGTCGGCTGAAATAGCCCATGATGAGATCACAGCTTCAATTGTATTCTCACTGTTAGGCATGAGCCAATGACGTAAGGAAAGTCATAAGGTAGCTATCAAAATGTTTCGCCAGCATATGGTACGATACCTGGCAAATCGATTGTCGATGGGATTATACAGGGAGCAATAACACAAATATATCCCACCGAAGGATTAGATTTTGACACTAGTGGTCCCGAATTATGAATGGGTCTATGCGGCTCTATCGCGTCGAGAAACTTTTTTAAGTATTTTCTTTTGTGTTTTCTCCTGGGAGCAAAGATTTCTCTTTCTGGTCGCCAATGAGCTCCGCACATGTATGTATGTGCGTTGCAGGCAAATATTGTGAAATCGGGCATATCCTCAAATACCGAGGCTGATACAAGTCTAATACAAATCTAATACAAGTCTATTACAAGTCTTTGGAAAACTAGTCAAAGTAATTTTTTGAAAAATACTTTGATCTTTCTTCCCTGATTGCGGAATATCCAATCGAGCTGAAAAGTTGTTTTTTCCTTTCCAAAAAAATAAATAAGAGCGGAGATTTTGAAACATCGAAATAGATATGCGTGGTTTAGCACAATGGTCATCCATATACGTCTTTTTCTAAAACTTTCATTAAAGACGGACCTCTTTTGATTACAAGCGCTCGTGTATGAGTGCGACATCGTCCAAAAAGTCGATATATCATCAAAACGACAAGAAGATTCTTAGAAGGTAGCACAGATAGCAACTTACGTGCTAAATAGAGAGATCATCAAGAGTCGACAATAAGTTGGCAAGGCAATGGCAAGACTCTGACAAGGCAACGGCAAGACTGCAATCAAATGACTGCAGCTAGTGACATAATTTCAGAGCAGGCGATCAGAGAGGGGGTGCCGGAACTGTAACAGAGCAATACCGAATTAATAAGAAAAGTGATCTTGTGAATTTGACGATATAGAGTAGTCTTTTGTCTTTTCCACTTCTTTGTCTGTACAAGTTGGATTTCCAACGTTGAAAGCTGAGGATCGCAGAGTTGTTTCGTTAAAATTCCCAATTTTCTTGGTTGTAAATGATTACCAGAACTCCTGTGGTCTGATTATTGGAATTGATAGACAAAGCGATAGACATACAAGACAAGGGAAAAATGAAGCTATCTTATTAATTGAAACGGAAGGTTGTTTTAGACTAAGGCGGAAAATAATGAGCATTTGGTGTTGCCAAAGGAGGAGTAACGTTTTGGGCCTTTTCCGGCCCCACCTGGATTTTGATAAATGTTTCATATTTTCAAAGTACTAGTCTTAGGTAGACTCTGTGCCAAATATTAGACCGAACGGAGCCCATGCAAGGGCGCAGCAGCGCCTCAAACCCAAAATCCTGGAATCGAAAAACAATTATCCTCCGACGTGATGATTAATCCAATTTTTGGCATTTTTGACGCTTCAGGACGATTTTTCTCGAAAATTTGGCAACGTAGGGAAAAGGTACAAATCACATTCCTATGTATTTTTTTACGTTCTTTCCGAAATTGTACACGGTTTCTAGATTAAATTAAGTTTCACACACGTAAACTTGAAAAAACCCCTAAAAATTGGTGAAAATTGGCAACAATGGACCGTTAGGCCTTTTAAAATTCACAGGAAGCCATTTTTATGGCCAGATATGAAAAGTACGTAGAAAAATACATACAATACCCACCCATAGAGGGTGACTAAGGTCGAAAAACATTCAACAGAGCTGCCTTCAAGTATAAAAAGGCCGCTAAAATCGACATCTCGGTCAATTTTCACATCGTGGGAATCGAGGTACAACTATGATATTTTAGTATGTTGTATGGATGGATAAGAGCTGTTATCTGGTACAGTATGAAAAATGTACTCCACTTTCTTGAACCTTAGACGCGGCGATTTATCGATTTTTTGCCGTTTTTGACACTTTGGGACCAATTTTCTCGGAAATTTGGCAACATAGGAAAAAATTTTACTGAACATTTTTTATTCATTTTTATACGTACTTTTCAAAAATGTACACAGTTTTTGGATTAAATTGAGTTTTGAATGTGTTAAATGGAAAAAAACCCCTAAAAATGGGCCAAAAATGGCAACAATGGGCCATAAGGCCCCTTAAAATTTATCGGAGGCCTTTAAAAAGGCCAGAAACGAAAAGTACGCAAAAAAATACATAAGAATCATGTGCTGGAAGAGTGATAACAGTCGAAAAAGTCGACGAAAATAATTGTTTTTCGATTCCAGGATTTTGGGTTTGAGGCGCTGCTGCGCCCTTGCATGGGCTCCGTTCGGTCTAATATTTGGCACAGAGTCTACCTAAGACTAGTACTTTGAAAATATGAAACATTTATCAAAATCCAGGTGGGGCCGGAAAAGGCCCAAAACGTTACTCCTCCTTTCATCTCCGAAAATATTTATTTTTTAAGAAATTTATGAATATTTTGACCACGTTTAGTAGAAGGGAACCAAGCCACATCAGCTGTTGCCGAATTTAACCGGGCAATTTAATTTTTCACAAGAGAACGGATGTGCGGATTCTTTGAAAATTTTAAAAAATTTGCTTCGTACTAAGCAAAAAATTCACTGACATTTGCACGATATTCCGCACAACCGTTTTCATGTAAAAAATTAAATTGCCCAATTAAATTTAGAAATAGCTGGCGTGGCTTGCTTCCTTTCTGCTTACGCGGTCCATTTTCCCCTGAAAGTTTCAGACACTTTAGATCAAATCGTCACTTGACTGACAAAGGGGCGTACCTTCACATTGCGATGAACCCGGTGAAGCATTGATTTAAATGGACGACAGGGTTCATCGCGAAATTCCGTTACGCCTTTAAGTCAGGAGGGCGACGACAGTACAAACAGAACCCTCTGAAAAATAGGAAAAAATATTCAAAAATCGTCCCACAAATTCGTGATTTTTCCAGGGGAATTCGGCAATATCTGAAGGCTTCTTCGGCGTTTTTTCACCGGTTTTCCGACACTGGAAAAAAAGTTGCTTGGATTTAGAGTCCAGACTCTTGAAAACATTGACAAGAAAAAATACTCTTGATTCAATCGGATTTGTACTCAAATCGAGAGCCAAGCCTCTTAATTTAAGCGGATTTCCTTTTAATTTAAGCTTAAATCTGATCGAATCAAGAGTATTTTTTCTGGTCAATGTTTTCAAGAGTTTAGACTCTAGATCCAAGCGACTTTTTTTCCAGTGGACGATTCTACCGATTTGTTTTCAGCGAGGCAACGGCAAGCGGAAAAGTTCTGCAAACAACCTAGCAAGCGGATTTCCTTTTGATTCGAGGAAAAATCCGATTGAATCAAGAATATCTTTTCTTGTCAATGTTTTTTAGAGTTTAGACTCTAGATCCAAGCGACTTTTCTTTCCAGTGGACGATTCTACCGATTTGTTTTCAGCGAGGCAACGGCGAGCGGAAAAGTTCTGCAAACAGCCTAGCCTATTAATTAGCCGTGATTTGACGTGCTTTTTGCGGGCGCGAGGCGAAAACGCAACCTGCGAGGGGCCCGGGGGGAGTCAGGTGGGGGCGGAGAGGGGGGGGACTCGTCCGGGCCCGGAGCCGGGGTCCAGGTGGTTGGGTCTCCCGCGGACTCGGGCCGGGGCCGGAGTTATGATGTTGGGACGCCCCGCGGAGCGCCACCTCGTAAACCCGTGTTCCTTCACACCTCCCCGGACCCACACGCGGCTACCGCGGGCCCCGGCCCCGGCCCACGGGCCCACTCCGGCCCAAGGCCACCCGACCCGCGCTAACTTTGAGATTCCTCCGCTAATTTCCAGCCGCGGTCGGCTCAACCTCAGCCTCAGCCCTCAGCCGGAGACCGAGGATGTACTCCGGCCTCAGGAGTGGGGGGAGGCTCAAAGACAGCGTAGTGTTGAGTAGAGTACCTTTATAGGGAGAGCATGGACAACTAGAAAATTTGGAGGTTAGGTTTGTTCAGGTCATGTAGCTCTTGGGGCCCAAAAGGGCAGCCTAACCTGTGGACTCGAATTATCCAGTGGTACCAATTTTCCAGACCCAGTGAGGGGGGGGGGTTACCTTTTTAGGGAGAGTATGGACAACAAGAAAATTTGGAGGCCAGGTTTTATCAGGTCATGTAGCTCTTGGGGCCCAAAAGGGCAGCCAAACCTAAGAACTCTAATTATCCAGTGGTACTAATTCAAACTCCGAGAGTAGGTACACTAATCAAAAATTATAAGAGAACGTGTAAATCTTTTATTTCTCATAAATTTTCTCAGTTTCAAAGTCTTAATCCTTAAAAATGCTCTTTTACAATGCGCTGTCGACCGTATTGATTAATCTAATGCTAATCCCTAGTTTTCCTAGCTTTTTTTTTCATGGTCCCAAGGCTTCCCGGGGCTTCCAAAGCAACGACTTTCTCCTTCTTCTTCTTCTTTTTCAATCAATTTTGACCTAGTTGCCAATCGTACATACAAGCGCGGATACCCGTTTACAACATGTTCATAGCGGCGTGGCCGGGGGGGCGGGGGTTCGCGGAAGGGGTTGATTTGCTTATCAGATGATCTGAATAATGAGCGGCGGATCCGTTACGGCTAACGATCCGCATTAAATCCCCTGGAAATCGAATTACATCCACCACATCAACAAGTTGTCGATTACGACGCCACCCGCGCGTCCCTCCCGCCGGCCGCCCCCTCCGCCCACGGCCAGGGATGGGCGGGGGAAAAAAGGAAAGGCTCCAAGGCTACTTAATCCCTGGGTCTCATGCCGGGTAACTTGGATCTCGTTTCGGGAGGAGCTTAGGGCTGTATCCCTCCGCCTCCATCTCGCCCTTTTTCCCAGCCTTTAGCAGCCAACCCTTTCGTGGTCCATCGTTCCGTAGAGGGAAAAATATCCGCTCGCATGGATGAAAGCATCCGAAACGGGCTGATTATTGAAATTGATAGGTAAAGAAGACACAGGGAAAATTGAGCGATACTATTGCACTGGGAAAAAAAAACACATTGGATCTAGAGTCCAGACTCTTAAAAACATCGACAAGAAAAAGTACTATTGATTCAATCAGAATCTAGCATTATTAAGAACCAAGCCTCTTAATTTAAGCGGATTTCGTTTTTGATTCAAGCAAAATTCCGATTGAATCAAGAGTATGTTTCTTGTCGATGTTTTCAAGAGTCTAGACTCTAGATCCAATGTGTTTTTTCTTTCCAGTGTGGGTTTTCCAGGGTTTTTCCTATATGGGTGGCTGGAAGTTTTCGGTGGCACTGAACTTTGGTTCAAATAAACGGAGTTTTCCGTACAGGACAAGGGGTGATTTATGAAATATAGACGAAGCAATGGACGAAGAAGACAAGGGTAAAATGGAGCGATTCTATTGGTCTAGGCGGGTGGTTGAAAGTTTTCGGTAGCACTGAACTTCGGTTCAAATAAACTGAGATTTCCGTAAAGGACAGTGGGCCGATTGATGAAATTGATAGACAAAGCTATGACGACACAGGAAAAATTGAGCGATCCTATTGGTTTATGCAGGTGGTTGAAATTTATTGGTAGCATAGAGCTGCGATTCAAATAAACGAAGTGTTCCGTAGAGGACAGCGGGCTGACTGATGAAATGGATAGACATAGCGATGGAAAAAGAAGACACAAGGAACATTGAGCGATGTTACTGGTCCATGCGGGTGGTTGAAAGTTTTCGGTGGCACTGAATTTTGGTTCAAATAAGCGGAGTTTTCCGTAGAGGACAGCGGGCTGATTCATATACTGATTGACAAAGCGATGAGCAAAGAAGAAAAGGGAAAAATGGAGCAACCCTATTGGTCTAGTGGTTGCTGTAAGCTAATGGGAAAAATTATGGGCTAACTATGGGTCCCTCGTAAGTTGCCTTTGGTCAGTCTATTACTTACCCCTTGTATCATTTTGCAA